TTATTTCATTATTTATTTTTTTCAGTCATTTATCAAAATATTTAAAAAGGTTTGCTGCATGGTTTAAATATGCTACGCGTATAAAACAAATGTTTTTTTAGGGGGAAAAAAACACAAGTCGCGTATAAGTGGCATTTTATGCCGACGCAAAATTTTTACAAACATTATAATAAACACTGTAAACATAGCTAGGCTATTTTAGTTCCCCTCACTCCACAACAAATCCTTTCAATTTAACAGTAGCATATTTAGAAGAGAACAAGAATTAAAAATATAAGAAGCTATAAATGACAAGCCAAAACAAATTAATTTAGGCTAAAATGAAACTGGGTGCTGCCAATGCTGGTTCTCTCATTCGACACAAAACCAAATGTTTCCATGTTTGCAATGTATTTGAATGCCAAAATATTATTTATTATGTACTTCACTCGCGTTCCAATATCCATGTTAAAATAAAAAAAAGTTTTGCATAACATCATGGCGGTACAGTGGCAACGCTTAACGGCAAAGATTTTACTACATATTTAAACTGAGCAGTGTGTTTTTTTCATATGTTTGACTGACTGTATTTTATTATGATAATGAAAAGGCTGCATTGTCAAGGTAGCGATGCTTAACTGTGTGCGTGCATGTGGCGCCAGCGCAATTATTTGAATTCTTTTCCTTCTAAAAATGGAAGCAACTACTCCTTTTAGTCATAAAGATAATCGGAATTGTAAAAAGGTTTGCTTTTATGTGTGTACATTCACAATAAAAAAATATAAATAAAAATCATTGTGCTTTCGTAAAATAGGGCTAAAGAAAATTAGGATGCCGCTTTCTTCCGTCTTGGTTTCCTTTCACGCAGCACAAAAATGAACCGAAACTAGGCTACTTGTTTGTTTTCTTAATTTATTATTTAAGTAAAAATATATTTCTCTATATATAATGCTTTATTATGTTTTTCTCCACTCGCAGAAGTGCTGCAGGTGCGTTATGTGATATGATATGACCATGTGAATCCTCATGTTCTGTCGTTTGCTGCTTTTTGCGCATGTAAAATTAATCCCCAGAAAACAAATGTTAGTATTTTAACAGGTCAAAGACAATTATCCTTACTAATTTAATTCAATTATAAATTAAAATAATCTTGTCGGTTAACGGTTAATAATCGGTTAACAAGCGTCGGTTGTCGGTTAGGAGAAATAACCGAAATGAACATCCCTACTTGGAGGTCTTAAGACTGGTGTCCGAAGAGTTATTTAATAGATGCAAAGCCCTTTGTTGGCATGGGGGATTCTTAGATGTCCAAGTACATAGACAATTTTACAGAAGAATACCAGTTGCACCCACTCACTTGATTTTTAACGTCTGATTAAACTGTTCCACTAAACCATCTGTTTGTAGATGGGAAACTGAAGTACAGCAACTAGCACAAGCCCATTACAAGCTGGGATACATTCATGGTTCTATAATAACAGTATTCCGATGCTGTAATGGGAACTCGTTTATAAAAAAATTATTTGCAATTTAAAATATATATTCTGGATGGTTTTGTCAGCAGCCCCGTCAGATGCCTTTTCAGTGCACTTAAAGGGAATCTCAATCATATGTGGTGTCAGAGGACTAGGTAGTGACCTCTGCATTGTGAGAACACTTAATGTCATTTCAGATGTCATAGAACCTGGTTCAGGCCCAACAGCAAGGAGACAGACAGATCTACCTACCCAGGCTCATTGGAAATACGTGCCACTACCTACTGCAAAACTCAAACTCAAACTCCAAAAAAAAAAAAAATTATAATAATAATAAAAAAAAAATATATACCTACGAATTGCTGCAGTTTCCAGTTGAACTGAACACTAGAGGCAGTACAACTCTGACAACTTTTGTTCCTTTCACAAAAATTATGATTTACAGGAGTTTTGATTCAGAAAGCCTAATTTTCGCAGTTCCTTGCACATTATTATGTTATGACCTCAAAAAATTTTAAGATTCTGTGAGATTTGAAAACTGATAGTTTTAAACATTAGCATCACATATACTGTACAGCTTCACTGCACGATTTTCGGCTGTCCCTGAAGAAAGATTGGCATTGTGAAACAATCGTAGCAATTTCTGTGATTTCTGTGTCATACAGTGATAGCGTTTCAAAGACGGCCATTGTAACGGTCTTGCGACCAAAGATAGCCTACGATACAGCATGATCATTGCACAGTGTGTTTGCTGGTACGATTCATGTTTACTGACCAACCAATAAAAATGCGACATGAAATCAACGCGACATGGCGCTAAAACATAAAACTGCTTAACTCAAGCTCTTATGCCTTCCTCTTTCACCGCTTTCACTTTTTTCAGCACATAAAAATACAACTGCTAAATGGTGATTTATCATGCTCTTTTTGTTTACCACTAGCACATGCTGATGATGTTTTATTCTTTTATAGTAATGTGCGTCGTAGCGCAGGAGTCAATAGGTGTTGTCATCGTACAGTCTACACACACATCGTAGCCAAGTTTATTAGATCCATGTCGCACAGTTTGACATGCAGTGATCTTATAGGATTGCTAAAATCGTGCAGTGTGTTTTGGGCTTAACACAGTAGGTTTGCTCGATAGCGCTCATTTTGCTTTTGTTAACACTATCGGATAGGTTTAGTGTGGGGGTTTGTTATTTTACAACATGACAGAGCATTAACATTTTAGCGATATTCTTCCATTAGCGACATTTGCATTCCGAGCAGGCACAATATTTACTTGGAGCAACATAATACAAACGCCTCAATATGTGCCTATACCAACATTATAAAAAACGTGTGCACGGTCACGTATTGAACATGCATTTTAGCACCATTTACTGGATGTTTCACTTTGAAACTTCCACAAAACAAGCAATAAATATGTGTTTATGGTTTATGGATATTACCCATGTTTCAGAAACGTCGCCACAAGCACATATTCTCAGCCTGGGTTGGTTGCTACACTAAGAAGCTACTTCTCAAACCCTCTGCAATTGGGATTATTATGGCCAGGATTTAGCAAAGATTTATATGGATACAGATGATGGGAATGGTTCTAGAGGTGTTTGTAGCAGCTGGTGATTACAGCTGGCTTGGCCAATGTGACTGCTTTTCCCAAAACTTCCTTCCCATCAAGCCTTACATTGTGGATTCAGGATGTACTGTACATGTTAAGGATATCTGTGTCATGGGAGATGTTCTATGTACAGCATGCCAACATGTTTCATTCGTAAACATCCCAGGGTCATATAGGCTTATCACTGTGGCTCAGCACAACAGGCCAGTGCTTCAGTTTTGAGAGCCCCTCGGGACCAATGTCTCTAGGGTTGTGGCTGTTCTGTCTCTCTCTCCTGCTCTCTGGCCAACATTTGAGTACCTCATGCCAGCTCTCCTGCATGAGCCAATCCCAGGAACATCTTGGGGTCTTTCATGTATAGCACAGCTTTCTTCATTGTGAGGGAATGCAGGAGGCAAGACAAAATAATGACCTGTAGAGATTGTCTTGGACCAATGGAGTAAAATAATGTCTAGGTGGGATGGTCGAGACATGGGAATGCATAATGTATTTTCATTGATGTTTCCTAAAGTAGCCCAACAAATCATGACATCTAATGCAGACACATTTCTTGAAATCTAATGCCATTTTATGGGATCATTAATCTACTTTACACTATACTTAAACATGCAAATGCTATGCAACTTGTGGTGCCAAATATAATTGCTTCAAACTGGTTTGAGACAGTCCTGCCTGATATTCAAATCATTTGGTTAGCCAACATTGCTCTCTCAGGCCATTCAGACAAACAATCTGCAATTTCATTTGGTGCCACTAGTGACACATACATTGCTTGGTGCAATTTTAACATAAACTGTAAAAACATTTTTACATGGGTTATGTAAAAAAAGTAAATTTGTTTGCCTTTGAAACTCAGCCAGATGTCAGTTGGGATTACTCCCACTCAGCAAGGTGTGTGTGCAGTAAACCGAATAAGAAACCTCAGCTCATTTGAAGATGCTTCTCAGTGGATATTTTGTATTTGTACAGGAGGAGCCATATGTCACGCTTAAGAAGTCTGACAAGGCACTCGTCGGCAATGACCGCTTTGAGGGCTTCTGTATTGACCTGCTTAAAGAGTTGGCCAGCATTCTGGGTTTTTCCTACGAGATCCACCTGGTGCCGGATGGAAAGTATGGGTTTCAAGATGATAAAGGCCAGTGGAATGGGATGATAAAGGAACTCATGGAACACGTAAGTATTCACATTGCACAGCATCATAGCGGTTAAGTAACGGACATCACTAATGCTGTTTCTGCTGAGTCAGATTGAACAGTACCTGCATCTCTAATTATGCCTTTCAATTTAATAAAACCTTTCTCCTAGTTTTCTGATGTCTAAACAAAATGCCAAGATGACACAATAACGCAATTATCTTAACGTGTTGCTCGCTTCAATACTGCTTCCTCTCACAAAATGCATGCTGCAAAGGTGACGGAACACACCTGGATCGCATTGACACACCGCGAAGACACGGCGGCAAGTGCTGCCACAGCGAATACACATGTAAACGCCTCTACAGAGTCAGCAGAACTAGACAATGCTGAAAGCTGATTCCCCTCAATGTACCCCCAGCCCATTCTCTCAAGTCTCAGTGCTGTCAGGCTGGGAGTGTAAGCCCTGTCACAGGAAAGGGTGCTGCTGTGCTGGCTTCCCATCCCATCGCCCTTTCACTGTCCTCACCCTCTGAGGTCACCAGAAGCCCGGGGCTGGAGAGCTGTAATAGCTTAAGTGGCATTTAGTGGAGGACGTCATATGGTGGGAGTCAATGGCGAGGTGCTGGAAGAGTTGGGAGAGGTGACTTACTGCAGCGGCACTTAATCTTCCTTGTGCTTTGGCCAGATCCGGCCCGATTGCAGTCACCTTGAGGGGAACAAAGGGATTATGGCTGGAAGAGTCAAAAATGGAGATGGGATATGTGTGTGTGTAAATGGCTGGAGATGAAAAAGTATAAGAAGTACATAACTATCTTGTCAAATGTAATGAAAAGTAATAACGCATAGAATAATCGTCTTGACAGCTTGAAATTTGTGATACTGCAAGGTGCAAATTATGCAGGGTCAAGGCTAATTTAGACTTAAACTCCAACAAATGAAGTGGAGTGTGGGTTTCAGCATGAAAGTATAAATGTTTCATGTTTTTGAACCTCATTTAGGTATACTGTATCTACACACATAAACCACAGTATTACATGATTAGGGAGAAAAAAAAGTGCAGGACAAAAACAAAAAAGTCAAATAATAAACAAAGAACAATTATAATGTCTGCACATTGAAATTACAGTGAAATTACAAAAATGTATTTACCATACAGAGCAACTTTTTGTGCCTGATGAAAACCTGACTGGTTAAACGTTGCACTGCTTGGTAAATGCATTTTGGAACTTTAATTTTATTGTGCAGACATTTATTTTATTATATGTTTTTTTTTTTTTTTTTTTTTTAAATACTGCTTTTCACCATATAATCTACTGATAATTAAATTGTAATTCTATCATCTTTGTATGCTGAAATACTAATGACATACACTGCTCAAAAGTTAGTAGTCAGTAAGATTTTATTTAATTATGTTTAAATGTAATTATATTAAAATATTAAGCAGCAAAACGGATTTCAACTGTTACATGAAATCAGCATATCACAATGATTTCTGTATGATCATGTGACACTAAAGACTGGAGTAATGATGCTGAAAATTCAGCTTTGCTATCATATGAGTAAATTACATTTCAAAATATATTCAAATAGAATATATTATTTTAAATTGTAATAATAGTTCACAATACTACCATGGTAACTACATAAGAAACTTCTTTCAGAAACATAAAAAAAAAAATCTTCTTGATCTAAACTTTTGAATGGTATTGGATACCTTAGTCTATTAAATTTAACACCTTACTGTGAAACTTAATGAGACTTTTTGTAAGTCTAATTATTCTATGCATTTGGGGTACACCACATCTTACTGACAACTTATTGAGCCAGTGTCATATGTATGAGGTAATTATTCAGTCCAAACAGGGTTGTAGACGTGCATGTGCTTTCAGGATTGTAGCCTCAAACCTTTTACTCCCTCACAGTACTAACGTCTCTTCTCCCCTGCATAATTTGAGAGGAGAGTTGCTGACACGCTGACACGGTCAGACAGAGTAGCCTAATGAGTGTAGAGTGGAGCAGAGACACAATATGGACATCCGGTATTTTACATCAAAAAATGCACAGCAGAGAATTGCATGTCGAAACGGTGTATCCTCATATTTCAGGCAACCCCAGCTGAGTTCTGCAGAGTCAGGCAAACTAAGCAAACACTAGGCGATAGGTCTGGTAAACATGTGGTACACTATTGTTTAGTTAGTCAGCTTAGTAGAAAGAAAATGAAATGAGCATGAGGGTTGAAGAAACCACAGTTTTTCCTAAATTACTAAGGCACATTTCCCAAACAATTAACAAATGTCTTCTTTCTATAATCGTACAATCAAAACAATAAAATGAGCTCTAAATATTGCAAAGTTTTAAGTAAAAATTTGTTGTGTGGGTTGTAATGAAGTATATTATATGTAATTAAGTTTTTTTATATTTATAAATATATATATATATATATATATATATATTGGATGATGGTGATACCAATGAAATGGTGAAATGCTGGTGAAGTGACTCCCGGAGCAGCTCTGTAGATAAAGTTCATGTGTTCATGTCCTTATATAGTGACACGACGAGCGTCACGCATGCTTCAGTTTGTGAAGTAAAAGGAACTCCACCGCTCCTTCACACACAGACATAAAGAACATGCAGACTACATATTTCAATTGCAGTCTTGCGGTTTAAAGGGATAGGCCACCCCAAAATGAAAATGCTGTCATTAATTTCTCACCCTCATGTCGTTCAAACCCGTAAGAACTTCGTTCATCTTCGGATCACAAATTAAGATATTTTTTGATGAAATCTGTGAGCTTTCTGACCCTGCATAGACAGCAACGGAACTACCACGTTCAAGGCCCAGAAAGGTAGTAAGGACATTGTTAAAATAGTCCATTTGACATCAGTGGTT